ATATTAGGAGTAAGCTTATAAATTTGCTAATATGACTCGTCATCGTGAAAAAATAAAAATAATTACAAAATGGCATAAAATTTGAAACAGTTACAAATATTCTAATCATCAAATTTAATAATTTATGTATGAGAAGAAACAACTATATGTATTCAAGAAGCAACTATAATTATGTTTCTCAGTATTTTCATCTACTTTTTTAATATGATATCAACGCAATAGATTCTTCTGTGAACAATTCTGTGCTCTTGGTTTATTATCTTATGTCCTAATTTTGTTATAATTAATACTTTTCAGCGACTTTGCATTCTGCATTTAGGAGAGATTTCAGGCATTTACCGATATTTGTAGGTATATGCTGGTGACCAATAATGACAATGCTTGAGGCAGAACCACGAAGCTTTNTCATCTACTTTTTTAATATGATATCAACGCAATAGATTTTTCTCTGAACAATTCTGTGCTCTTGGTTTATTATCTTATGTCCTAATTTTGTTATAATTAATACTTTTCAGCGACTTTGCATTCTGCATTTAGGAGAGATTTCAGGCATTTACCGATATTTGTAGGTATATGCTGGTGACCAATAATGACAATGCTTGAGGCAGAACCACGAAGCTTTTGTCAGAACCAAAACACTCAAACTATTAGCCAAAGTCGATTATCGGTAATTTGTCTAGTAGTTTCAGTGTACTGCCACTTACTAACTGGCGCTGTACGGATCTGAACGAAGATTCTCATTTTCGTTACAAGAGGCGCCACTAATGCTTATCTAGCGATTGTTTCGTGCCGGATTTTGTATTGTATCTTTTGACAAGAGCGGCAGAGAAACATCTGTCCTAGATGTTTGCAATACTAAATATACACATGTTTTTTATGTAATATAGTTACAAGTTATTCTTCTAAACATTTCTGTAACCTCAAAAAAAAAATGTTTTTTCGACTCAAAAATTAGCAGATTTCATACTATTTTTCACACACATTTTTCTTATGGCAAGAATCATTTGTAGCTCTAACAAATATTCATTATTCTCTATATTTTTATGACAATAAATAAGACATTTACGTGCCCTTAAAATTTTTTAAGTCTCAAATCGTTGGAAATCATTCAAATTAAATATATCAATTCTTCTCAGTGCATAGATGTAGTAAACCAAACATTTTACAAAAAATATTTGAAGTTATATTTATATATATTATTTCACTCTCAAACACCCTCAAAATCAAATAGATTTGCAAAAGAATGTATTTACTTTAAAAAAAAGGTGAAGCCGTAAAAGAATGAATTCGGATTGAAAAACCTGTATCATGCAAAGAAAGTTTATTCCAATTAATAGAGAAGGATTGATTCTCGCCAAAATTTTGCAAGGTGATCAAGATACCCCATTTTATCCAAAGATTTACTTCACTGATGCTAAATTCGTCGCGCATGCGTGAGCAATTCTGTACCATGTGATGATTCTCATCACTGGTCATATAAATGTAGAGTAGTTTCAAAGTGCCACGTCAAATCAAAAGTATATACATAAATACAATTATCATTATGGCATTGCAGGTAATTGAAGTTTTAAAATAATGCAACGATGAGATTTATACAAAAATTGTATAAATGAAAATTTTTAAAAATTTTAGGTATACGAATTTCACGTAGAAATGGAATGCGATGGATGTTCTAAGGCTATAAGAAACGTCCTCGCTAAGAAAGAAGGTATGGATTAACGTACATCTTATACATCTCATGTTCGATTCTTTGCTTTTACTTTGTTTGTGTCTTTAATTGTTCATTTATAGGTATTGATAATATACAGATTGATTTAGCAGGCAAGAAACTACTGGTAACAACTACACTTTCTTCCGACGAAATATTAAATGTTATTAAAACAACTGGAAAGGCATGTAAATTTTTAGGAGTAAAAGAGTAATTGTTTTTTTAAATTAAGTTAAATATATCATGCATATAAGAATGATATGACTTTTTAAATTACATTATTCTTCCAATATTATTTAATTAAATGTTTAACATTGACAAAATTTGGTTTTGGACTATTATTGCCACAGTATCAGTCATTCATAATTAAATCTGTCTTCTGATTTCTTGTTAAATACTTTTATATAAACTTTTATGCAAAAATAATCAGACTTGTCTTATTCTTACTTAGGTGAACGCTATTTGTTGATTCTGTTATTTTTTGACTTAAGAGAAATAATTTTAAAAAATACATTAGCTATTTACATCGGAAATGTAGTAATTATGCGATTTCATAAATAAAATGCAAACTGTTTATTTTCTTAATTGTTCCTCTAATACTGTTAGACGTTGTTCTAAACTAATAACAGTATCGCGTAATGACTGTACCTGGTCATTGAGTGCATCTACTACATTAGTTGATTGCATAGAAATCTGAGCATCAGAGAAGTTTTTAGACAGACACGATCCATTCGTAATACAATTTTGTTCATAAGGTTTCTGAGCTTTTAGATCAACCATGTTTTCAACTCTTGTATTCAAAACTTCAAGATCTGGTGCTTCACACCGACAATTACTACTATCTTGTAATTCTTTATTATCAACTTTATCATGTGAGAACTAGAATGAATATAGTTACAAATTATAAAGATAAAAGATTTTATGAAATATGCTATTATAATATTTATTTTCTCTACCTCCTGTTTTTCATTTTTATCATTGGTTTTAGCTTCTTTAACACATGAAATTATTTGTCCAGTATCCTTGCAAGCAATATCATTATTAGTAAAATTAGTTTTCCACATTAGTAATTGGCGATCTGCTCCACCAGAAGCAAAAAATTCACCGTTAGAAGAAAATGTTATAGCAGTTATGCTTGTACCATTTGCATGCCCTTTAAGCGTGTAAATTGGACGGCCTTCTAACAAATCTAAAACCTATTTTAAACTTTTGAGAATAAACAATCTGAAATCTGTGTATAAACGTATGTAAACACAGGCGTATTCTACCTTCATTGTAGAATCGGTAGAAGCAGTTAGCATGAAATTTCCTCTGGGATGAAATTTGATCATGTTCACAGGACCAGTATGAGATGCATACTGCTGATATAAAGCAGTAGAACGCAGATCATACAATTTTATGCTACCAGCCATATTTGCACATCCAATGACAGAACTACTTGGATGGAATTCCACATATGTGTTAGAAGCTAATAAAATAACACATTTTACATACTAGCATTCACATTAAAATATTAATAACTATGGTCAAAATTCATAGACTTGTAACAATACCCTTCATATCACTTAATGTTCTAATACATTGCCCACTAGTGACATCCCATAATTTTGTTGTTTTATCATCACTACAGGAAACAAAGAGTCTGCCATCGTTAGAAAATTTAGCACATCTTACCCAACTTGTATGACTCAAAAATGACATATGAAATCTTCTTTGGCATACGATCCATAACTTAATACTTTTATCATCAGATGCAGTAAGTAACTAAATATGAATTTATTTATAATTTGTAATAATTTGTATAAGTTGTATAATTTTAATAAATAACTTGCTATATTATTGTTTTATATACTAATACCTTCTCTCCATCTGGACTAAATTCTACCGATCTAACAGCTCCCGAATGCGCTTTGAAATCTATAGATTGTCCTGTTACTTTAGGAACCCAAATTCTGACTGATCTATCTCTAGAAGCACTCGCTATAACTTCACCAGATGGTGCATAGGTGACATTGTTAATAACATCCTTATGTCCTAGAAATCTGTAAGCTCTTACGGATTCCTTTAAATTCCACAGCATTATAGTTTTATCCAAACTACTAGATACAAGTTGAGTCGTCTCAGGATGAAAACATAAACTTGTAATAACATTTTCATGACCTTTAAAATGTCTTTCGATTGTAGGATCGCAAGCAGTTTGACTCATTATTCTAATAAGAAAGAAAAATTATACAAACATTAAATACGGCCATATCCCATTATAATACGCGTATGAGATTCATAACCTAAGGATGGTTAATATCGAGCAAAGAAATTATTTCGTAGTACTTTACAATCAAATATAATGAATGTTCCATGTAATTTCGACATACATACACTTCATACTTCATTTCACAAGATAAATTAGAATCGAAAATTCTGAGACTCCGAACTGTTTGATTACCTTTTTCACGTTACATTAAGTAATATCTGCAACTTTAGTTTACAATTGCTTTAAAAATATGTATATTTCTTGCTTCTTACGTATTCTATCAAGGGAATATAAAGTTTGAGACAGAGATTAAGGTATGTAGAAGCTGTTACATTAAAAGTAACATATGAAACTGGATTCAATTTGAAGTATACTTTAACTACGGTGGTCAATTGAGATATTGGATTGTACAATAAGGGTACAATGCGTATTGAAATAACAAAATCGCGGAGTTGAATTTATTTTTTAAAATAGTAATAAATATGTGATATAAACATCGAAATGAATATTAGTATAAAAATACAATGGATTAAACATTTTATTCAATTTTTTTCTCTGAGAACAAGCCAAAGAACGACGGAACGTTCTTTCTCATGCTGAGTAACAGTCGGTAGGCTAGTTAGCAGGGTTGAATTAGATCTTTATTTGGAAGATACATAGGTATTCATAGGATATTCGAACATAACTGTAGATGGAGGTGATTAAACACAAATGTACAAACGAAATACAATACGGTACTCCTTATCACGTGTCTGGCGTGGTATGAGCGTGGCTTTTGTCAATGGCGCACTATACAAACACGCCTTCTCTGGCTCTAGTCAGTAATTGTACACTCGACTTAGTTGCTAAAGCTCCGCACTATCGCTTCTTTTCTTTTAAAAATAATCATATATTTTGCGATAAAAAAATTAGGTAATGTTGCTTCGTAAACTTGACATTGCACTGCAATCTCTTTTACTTGACCAGCTGCGGAGGCGACCGTGAAGAGTTTCGGAATCACACAGAAAAAGAACAGATCAAGGGAGCTACGTAATTCGTCATAAACCATGAAACACGTTTCATGAACAACGCTTTTAGAGATTTGCGTATATTACGCAAAATTTTTTTTCTCCTTCAACTACTAAATCTCGACAACTTTAACTTTCTAAATGCTTCAGAAATTCATAAACCGCGAAAGGAATATGAAGTTAAGAAGATATATAGCGCTAGAAGGCATTGCTCACTGTATCCTCTTTTTTCTGGTACCTTAAAAAATTCTCTAGAACGATGCGCCGCAAGACAAAGAGATGGTCGTGCAGATCATCTATTCGTGTAATCATTTTAACGTTATTCTTTAAATACATTCTTATGTGTCTTTACGTGAAATGCTTGTACGAGTTCTCATTTTTTTTTGTATTTTTTTTATAATAAAATTATATTTCTAATCTTTGTTGATCAGCTGTTGTTGCCCTGTGAAAACTGCCTTCTGTCACAACACAATAATACTTGCATGGTGGGTTCACACTTCTGAATTTGGTTGATTTCTTCTTATATCACAATATTACGTCTGCATAATGTTCTTGTTAATATTAATAGGATTTCCCCCTGATAATCGCAGATACCAAATTCAAATGCAAAATTTTGGTTATTCATTGTCCTATTTTAGAAATATCCTAAGTCGTATTAAAATATGCTAAATGCGTGTTCCATCTCTTTCTTTTAACTCACATTCAATCCTTTTGTCGTCCGTTTCTTTAACCGAGTAAATCCGTATAAACTAATTCGTCAGATTAATTAATTACTCGTTCGTGAACGTCAAGGTTCCAGTTTTAAATGTTAAAATTTACACTTAGCAGCACGCACAAAGTTTAGTTGAAACTTTGTTTTTATTTGACATACGACTTGGACTTTTTCATAAATAGACAACTGAATTCTGATCTTACAGCATTATTATAATGTTTCACTGTGCATGGTTCTATCGCGATTTAATTACTGTTGCGTGTGGGGTTTACCACGGGGTGCATACGCGCCACGGTTTCCTCCCCTTTGACCGCGAAATTGTCCTCGGCCACCTCTATCCATGCCACGCTCACCTCGCGGACCTCCTCTCGGTCCACCACCACCACCCCTTTTATAGCCAGAATTATAACCACCGCTACCTTCATTGTTTCCCCAGGAACGTTGTTGATAACCGTTTTGATAATTGCTATCGTTACGATAATATGTTCCTGAAATATTATTAACATTGTCAAAAATTATGCTAAAAAACAATGTCCTTTCTTTGACGTTGTCTATCTTTCTCACCTTGTCCAACTCGTCCATTTTGTTGATAACCGCTGCCCCTGCCCCTTCCACTATATCCATTAGAATTTCCCCTTTTTCCACCCCTGCCTCTATATCCACTGCGTTGCTGATCGCCCCAAGCTTGCTGAGACGTTTGTTGCTGTTGTTGTTGCTGTGCATCTTGTGCAGGCTGTTGTGATTGATCGGTCTGATTCCAGTCATTAGGATCAGTCATCTGACACCAATCTACAGGTTCATTTGATTGTTCTAATTCCGATTCTGGCGCTATCGCTTCGTCTTGGTTTTCATCCGTTTTTTCCTGAAAAATGATCGTACCGTTGATGTCGTATAATTGTTGACAAATATACAAGGTGGAACATGTGACTGTTATTCTCTGTATAAGTGAAATTCAAACATCTCCTGAATTCATGGATTTTTTACTATAAATTCTAGTCACATGCTTCACTTCGTACAACGAATTTCCTCATTTAATATACCTCGGTAGGTTGTTGTTGTTGTTGACTCTCTTGTTGATGTTCGAAGTTTTGTGACTGTGTCTGTTGCGGTATTTGTTGCGAGGGAGTTTGTTGTTGTGGTTGTTGTTGATAATTTGCAGGATGTTGTGGACTATATTGCATGTTTGGTTGTTGATGAGATGGCGGCATTGGAATAGGTGGAGGTGGATTAGGATTGGCAAAACCAGGTATATGGGATATATCTTGTGGTGGTTGATGTTGATATATCACTTGTTGCGCTACTACCGGCGAATTAGCAAAGTTTTGATTTGTAAATGTTTGTGAAGGAATTGGTGCGTTTACAGCAGCAGGAATGTGTGAGACGATAGGTGCCTGTGACGTTACATCTGGTGAATCAAGCTCAGATTCTTGCAGAAAAAAGAAATTTGGTGTACCTATAACATCGTTAATTCTAGGGGCTTGTGGTGGTTGTTGGGTTTGTTGAGATTGTTGTTGTTGTTGTTGTGGCTGCTGCTGTTGTTGTTGTGGTTGAGGAACAAACCCTGTAGCATTTGTGTAGTAAGACGTTTCTACTGGTGCAGCTGGATGTGGTGGAATGGGTTGTGCCACTACAGGAATAGGACCAGAAACTGGGGCTGTACCAGAAACCACAGGAAGAGAAGCAACTTGCACTGGAAAATTGGGAATAGGAATCATAGACTCGGGTGGAATGTGTCTCTCATTGCTAGTATATTCTTCGTTGACTTGTTGCTCTTGTACTGGAGTTTCTGTTATTTGTGTCTCTGCGACTGCTTCTACAACCTATAAATAAACGACAATACATTTTTTATGATATTTTTATTTCAATTTCAGTTGAAAACAAAGGCTACTTACTTCTTCTGTGGCAGCTTCAGTTTCATGAACTTGGTCAAAATAGCCAGATTGGTTGATAGTATTGATCATTTCTTTTATCTTGCTATAAGTTGTTCCAACAACTTCTCTTTGTTTCCCTTCAACAATGAGTACAAAATGTTCTGCTACTTTTTGTACTTGTTGGAAAAAAGTTGGTTCACCTTCTTCCCGATGATGTTTCATTGATAGTTCATGATATAGGCTATCCAAATATTTTACTTCCTCCTCTGTTAATTTCACAGTACCATTTTTCCCAGTAAGGAAATCCTCTCTAACAGATTCTGTTCCCATGTTCATCAAAACATCTTGAATAAGAAGAACTTCTCTCACCTATGACACATGCACATACGTACATGCAAAATGTTCGACAAATTTTTTCCAACAATTTCACATTATGAAATAAAAATTTTGAAACTATGCTTGTGAACTTACTTTTGCAATGTCCTGTTGCATTCTCTCATTTGCTTCCTTCCTTGCCATTTTTTTCTGTTGTTTGACCGATTCTTGAGAAATACCAACAATTTGTTTATATAATTCTCTTGTAAACTCCAATGTTTGTAATACTTCATCATATTTGGCTACAGCTGTTTTTTGATCAGTATTCAATTCCTTTCCATTTTTCTGTAGATCCTTGTATGATTCTAACTTCGCCTATGCATAGACACAAGTATATATATATATAGACACATATAAATACAAGATACTCTCAGGTTTTAACTGTCAGATCTTGTCAGTGTATTTTATGAGCATAAACATAGATTGCATAAACAGACTAAAAGTAAATATTATAGATCCACTGCTACATTGTTTACTTCATATCTTATAGTTTCAATGCAATTTTCTAAGAAAACTTCAAATGTCTTGGGCTTATATAACATTTTTTTCTAATTTAAACTCATAGAATATACTGTCAAAATTTGGCCCTTAAAACTTGAAACATTCTATGCATATACAATGTAATTATATCATAGTATTCGAAATACCTACAAAAATGCAAATAATAAATTTAATATCGATATGTTGTAAAGTATAAACGTGTAAGATAAATAAAAACGAATTACTTCAGATACACTGTATGATCACCGACAATTAACACATTTTGGAAAAACAAAATAAGTACGTAAATATGAAAAAGACGAACAATAAACGAAAAAATATTGTTACATTACAATATACATTTGTACAGATGAAATTCGGGATGAGACTAGTAACGTTGAACCAAACAAAGAATAGTATAACAAAATCTCGCACACCGGTAGCGGCTTAAAAGCGTGTCATGTAAAGTTTTGTGCACAACTTTGGAAGATACCGCCATGACACGAGGTTTACAGTAAGTAAAATTCAGCATTAGAGTAAACGAAAAATAGTAATACCGCTGCACAATAACGCTAATGAAAAAGGATCAATTGGTAACTCCTATGATAAGGGTTAGTTGATCTTAGTATAATTGTTAGATGCTTGTGAATTCTCGAGCGTGAGCACATGGCGCATCCAATCATGGCGGATGGGACCGTGAAAGCTATCAACTGACAGATAGATTTCTCTGTTACTCGGCATAAATACGATTCATTTACTTACCTTACGCTTGTCAAGATTCCGTATCTTATGTTCGATAACGATGATCGCCTGGCGTATAGGTTCTACGGTCTCCGTAGAGGCCTGTTTTTCTAGTTTAGGGTTGGCAGAAGGCATCCTTCACGGGCAACAAACGCGAACTGGAAATCAGAATAACGAAGCTGCGGGGTACAGGGAAAGGGAAATGATTCTGAAGTTAAGCGCATGCGCATTCAGGTTTTCTACTTAACCTCCACCACGCCAGTGTAGTAGCTACGTTTCATCAGAGCCCTATCCTTACCAATACATTTATTGTACCTACTTAAATCTCAAAGGAAACCAGAATGGGGCAATGTTTAATGCGATTCAATATTTAATTGACATATGTGTAACAATAAAAAACACAAATATCAAATAAATTATAATAACTAATTGTTTAATTAACGATTAATATTTATTATCAATAATTAAAGACTATTTTTGTCAATTCTAATTTATTTTATTAATACTTTCCAAGCGTAAATTTCAATTAGTAGATCATATTAAACATTATAATCAATTATAATGCCTAACTCTGAATTAAATAATATTACAGAATTTGATAACTTTTGAATATCA